CCTGCGCAGCATACCACGCTTCGCTGACAGCGCCCGCTCCCCTTGGTGGTCTTCGGCACGCATCTCTGAAAAAAGCGCTTGCAGCCGAGCTTGGGGCCGCATCCACCCTTGCCGATTGCGGCGACGGAACGCTCGAAGAGAGATGCAAGTGCGCCAGCGCTGTCAAGGGATCGCAAGAAGCAGGAGCAGGGTCGCTTTTGGAAGACGTGCCGAGAAATGCTCGAACGGCCGCGTCGGCAACAGGATCCAAAAGGCTTCTCCAGCTGAGGAGCAGGATAGTCGGGTCGCCATGTCAGCGAGAAGCGGGAAAGTGATCTGGGCGCAGCAACTATCCGCTCACCTCTCGAGTACGGCAAAGGGTACGCAGTCAGCGTCCCAAACGACGATCCTATCCCAGCTCCTGATGACCTCGCCAATCTCGGGCTTTGCTCTTCTGCTTTCGCGTTGAGTAGGATCCAACGGTAAGGCTTCTCCCTCCGTATCGCAAGGTGGTAGATCCCAATGAAAATCCGTGTCGTCTTTGATGCTCTTGGCCAATTCTTGCGGTGTTTGACCGCGGGAACGAGCGAGTCGTGACCATTCGATATGGGCCTTGATGGATGAGAGGGGAGAAAAGGAGGAGGCTTGATGAGGCGAACCGTTGGATAGGAGGAGCGTGCACGTGCTGCTGTTTGCGCTACCGCCGGGCAAGGGCAGAGCTAGAAGTAAAAGGAGAGCAAAGGGGACGACGCAGAGCAGTGCGAAGGAAGGATGCAGACGAAGTGCGCAGCAGGATACCGTCAAGGCTAGGATGGGCCATTGCAATTTGGCCGAAATGCTGGGCAGGTAAAAGCTAAAGAGCGTTTGGCTGCTGATGCTGAGAGCGTAGAAGAGCCAGCTGGGCAGCAGTGACGTGTGCGAAAGCAGCAAGAGAGAGACGAGAAGCATGACAGAGGGTGTGAACGGTGCTGACTGCATAGCGTGCCCGGCATGAGTGGTGACCGACCAGAGCGGTCGCGTTGCTTTCCAAGCTGTCATGGTGCAGGTGGGTGTTGGCGGCGAAGGTTTGTTACGTTGAGTTGTCGTGTCAAGCTGCAATGCAGGTGATGAAGAGGGTCACCTTGCGCAAAAGTGGAGATTCCTGGGCAACTCGTATTAAATACGGCTGAATGGGATCTCTGCTCGATGCACTGCCCCGAGTGCAGCTTTCCGATCGACAGCCCAAGCTTGAGCGGCACCGCAACGGAAATGCTGCTGTAGATAGCTCACCGGCTTCTAGATTGCCGGTTCAGTGCAGCCTGAAGCGGCAAGGGTCTCATTCAGAGGTGAAATGCTGTAGAGTGTGGATGATGACGAGCGCTTGAGCTTGAATTGAGCGTGGGTCTAGCACGATGCGCAGTCGTAGGTGTCAGCGCTGCTGCTGCCGGGCGGAATATGTATATCGTGCTGCGGCGGATTTTGGATTTCGACGGATTTTTCCTGTTCGGTGGTAACCTGACCTATTGGGTCCTGGGAACGCGGTGCAGCTCAAGCCTACTCTTTGAGGCACGAGGGGAGACTTTAGCTGAACGAATGTTGAGCTTGAGGGTGCTCTTAGGGTATACGAGCAAATCTCTTGCTGCTATTTCTCCTGCCTGTCGTCGACTTCTAGTGCTGCGGGCGGAGC